AGGGTTGGTTTTCTTTGTATGTGATGGTCTGCTCCACATTAATGAGGCATATTCTGCTGTGGAGCAGATTTTACCAGCATGGACACCCTATTTGGTGTTAGCCAGCTTCTTCAGGATGTTCTTTCTACATCCAACTTTGGCTTCGGAGCCTAAGTCTTGGAGATGTTAAGATTGTAGCAATTAGGAAGTAACAGTTCTTGTTGAAAAGGATGTCTGAATGATACTTGCTTTTTCTGTTTTAATCACTTTACCCCAAGCAAGGCAGTAAAGCCACTAAGATGGAAGGGGTTATGGAGTGTTAGAGAATATGAGGAAAAAAAAAACAAAGACAAGATAACATTAAAAGAACAAGAATTAAGAAGACAGAAATTTTAAATTCAAAATTTTAAATGCCAAGTTGACTGGAAAACAAGAGAGTTCCACAAGCAAGAAGTGTGGTAGAAGTAACTGTTAATATAGAACTAACAGTTATGTCTAGCCATTTCAACTGTAACAAGATGAGACCTGACTGCCAATCTAGTATTGCGGTTAAATTCATGAAACCTAGGTACCGTAACAAAGAGGTCATCTGAACAATTGCCATGAATGTCTGTCTATATTTCTGAGATGAGGTATTATATACATTATTCGGACTATTGTCCTCATCTTTGTCACCATACTTATTACAATGTTTCAGCTGTTGTATGCTCCAGCCTTCTTCAGGTGGTTGGAATGTCAAACTGAACCCTTTATTTTGCTCACTGGGGTAGACTGTTCTAGTTCCACGTGCCATGTTTAATGGATGTCAGTTATCAGTTATCTCCCGTTAATTTTCCCTCTGAAAGTTCTCCACTGCCATAACTGGGTATTGAACTCACACACTTTGGGTCCTGTCACTGGATCTAACCAACGCCTTTATCCACTGTGCCATGTGTCCTTAAGGACAAAATACAAAAGGTTTTAATTATTATGGCGATTTTCTAAGTGTAGCTTAGATGTGGAACAAGGCTGAAAGTACGGGGCACCCAGTGAGGATCGAGCTCACTATTGAGTTATAAGTGATCTAGTGAGACAAACTTGCTAATAACTATGCCAAAGTGCCCAAGTTTTGATTACCATTCTTAATCCACTGTGCCATGTGTCCTCAAGAACACATGGCACAGTGGATAAAGGGTTCAGTTCGACATTCCAACCACCTGAAGAAGGCCGGAGCATACAACAGCTGAAATGTTGTAATAAATATGGCGACAAAGATGAGGACAATAGTCCAAATAATGTAAATAATGTACCATGAATGTATTTATAGAAAAAGCACATGGAAGCTACATTATGGCAGTGGTAAAGTGACTGACGGTAAAGTGCCATGCCATGACCTATAACACTGCAGATTCTTCTTTGGATTTTATCAAGAAGCTCTAAATGTATAATAGGAGCACCAGATCAGATGTGGCAGCAGTATTCATATAAATAGTGTTTAATATTCTTGTTGTCAATTCTCAAGAACGAAAAAGAAAAAAAAATATAAATTCACTTTCATTATATGTTTAGGTTTTATTCCAATTCTAATCATCATTTTTTAAAACAAAAGATTGACGAAGAGTGCAGGTAGTTAAAAAAAAAGTGGTGTCATGGGGGAAAACACAGTAATAGTGGTATCAAGACAAAAAAAACTGTCCTTTTAAAATACTATTTTTTTGCAGACACTAAAGTTAAACTTTGCCAAATTCTTAACTTCTGAACTATGTGGCTTATTGAATGGTTGTCCGATATAAAAGTGATCAGAGTGCTTTTATAAAAAGAAACAAAACTAAAAGAAAAACTACTCTCATAGATCTTTAACTAATTTGACTTTTTTTCTTTTTTTTTTTTTAAATGCAGGAGATAAGCTATCATGGTTCTCCACATATTCCTTTTCTTTATGCCATATCTTGGGAAAGATGGTTCTATATTTTGTTTTGAATTCAGAGTTTTCTATTGACTCTTTGTCAACCAAAGTTAAAATCTTATCTGATCTGCTATTTAATCCACAACAAAGCGGGATTCATGCTTTCCCAAGGGCATCAGTACAATAGTAAATGTAACCGACTTGCTCAAACTGGGCTTGATGGTTTTATTTTATGCAATTACAACCATTATGTAATCCACATTACTATTATATAATTAAATTACTAAAAGAAAAAATATTTTTAGAATTTTGTTCCAACTTCTTGTTAAGAAATTATTAGCTTAAACAATTATTTGAATGAGCATGCTTCATGGAGCAGGAATTAATTAAACAACCAGAGTAATGGGTCCAATCCTGGTTGAGTGCCATAATTTTTGTAGCCTTGTGCCAAACTAAGCTAGAATTGTGATTGTCAGGAAATTATAATAAAACTGAAAATATATAGGTTTGTTTTAAAAAAGTTTTTGTCGTTGTATTAATTAAGAAGAAGAATGATTTTATTATTCATTATGTATTTTTCCAGACATTAAAAAAAAAAAAAAAAAAAAAATGAAGCAGTGATGGGATCATAACGAGAAAAAAAAATTATACTTTTTAAATGGGTTTCATATTGGAGGGACACAGTTTGAGCTCTATTTATTTAGAAAGATACGAGTGAGAAACTAGAATAGAAAAAATATATATTCAATTTTTTTCTATTCTAGTTTCTAAAAAAAAAAAAAAAAGACAATATTGTCTTAAGTACAATTCTTTTTTCTTTTTTTAATTAAAAAAATAAATCATTTCATCCAAAGCAAGGAACCACTGAATGTGAATGAATATGAGAAACATTATTAAGGTGCGAGGACAATAAAAGGACAGAAATTAAGAAAACAGAACATAACGATTGGATGCTGCATTTTAGCATTTAAATTTTTTAAGATCAAAGTTGACAGGGAAGAGATTGCCACAACAGTGAAGTGCGAGAGAAGAAAACCGTTACCATATAAAACTTACGGTTACATCCTAGCTGTTAATCTATTACCTGCGTCTCTAAAGTTATAAATTTTAAATACCATAAATTACGATGTACAAGTCGACCTCAAGATTTTTAGCTCAAAAATCCGAGTTAGGCCTATCAACGTCAACCCCTAACATACGGTAGGCGATCAGGGACACAACAAAAAAACAAACAAACTGTGAACCAAGCCAAAAATGACTTTTTTTAGGCTTGAAAACTCGACTTGTGCTCCGCAATTTACGGTATTAAAATAAAACTGATTTTTTTCTCTTTTTTTTTTTTAAGTTTATTTATTTATTTTTGTAAGAACTTATTCAGTGCCCTGTAAAACGACATTTAGCTTGAAGCTGAACTGAAGTCAACCTTTGAACATTTTATAATTGTTGTCCCGTATAAATAAATAAATCTGTTTATATAGGAGGGTGCTAAAGAGTTCTGGATTAAACCAAAAAATAAGGAATTCCAGAGTTTATGAAGTGGGTCGGGCCAAGACTTTTTCAGCAACAAAATGAATTAAAAGAGGCAGGATATACCATTTATTTACCGCCAAGAAAATCCAACTTATAAAAACAACAAATTGGGTTTATATTGTTTTTTTCAGAGTTAAAAAAAAAAATGATTATGGTTAACCATAATCATTTTTAAGTTAAAAATTATTAAAAATTTTAACTAACACAGCAACGTTAATGTCAATGGAATTGAATATGGTAAATTTGCAGATTATGACAGAACCAATTTAAAAAAGAAGCAACATTTCTGATGTAAAAATAGCCTGAATATTAAAAAAAAAAAAAACAGCAATAAAAATTTGTTTAGGAGAACGAAAATCTTAGTTGGGTCTTCTTATTTCTCTGCGACAGCCTGCTCGACATTTGGGCTTTCGGGTTTCCTCTTAGTCTTCTTAATGACAAACATTTTGACTGTAAAACTTTGTTTTATTGATTTTTTTAAGCATGATTATTACTTACAAAAATAGCAATAAAATAGCAGAAATCCACCTTTTAGGAAGGTACTGTCAATTATGACAATCTTATTTGGGTCCTACAGTTAGGAATCTATGAAGGTGCTCGGATGTTTTTTTTTTTTTTTAATTATCCAGTAAAATGAGTAGAAAAACTTTCGCGCAGTAATCGAGTCCTGAAAGGGCAACCGTACTGTATCCGGGACCAAAGTAAGATTGCTGCAGATTTCCGTAATTTCTAAGGCTATTTTTGTAAATAATAATCATGCTTTTAGAGACTTAGATTTTTGTACCGCCACTTTTACGCTGAAAAAGGCCCCAAACTTAATAAAAAACAAAGTTTTTTAAAGTCAAAATGTTTGTCATTATTAAGAGGAAAGACCAAAACGTTAGTCGGGCTGTAGCCAAGACACAAATAAGAAGAGTAAGAAGGCCCAACTAAGATTGACGATATTTCCGATAAGGCCTAAAAACGGTAGGATTCTGCAAATTATGATGTTTTTAGAGAGTATTCAGGATTTTTTTTTTAACACTGACTAGACAGATGCTTCTTTTTAAAGTTGGTTTCTGGGTCCTAACCTGCAAATTTACCAAATGTTGTTTATATCACTAAATTAACAAAAACAAAACAAAACAAAAAAACTGAAACATTTTGTCACCCGCAAAAAGCACAAAGTCTAAAATCTAAAAATACATGTCGAAAAATAACTGAAAAAACAAAACAGAAAAAGGATTTTAAAAGGATAATTTTCCGAGATGGTTTTACTTTTAAAAATTATTTATTTAATGATAAATTTTAAAAAAAGCAATTAATTAAGTAAAAGAAGTCTACTTATTGTTTTTTTATTTATTTATTTAAAAACGATAGATAGACTTCTTTTTCTTTTGATTTGATTGGAAATAACAACAACCTTTAAAAAACAAAGAAAGATAATCTTAGGTTAGGGTACTCTTGTCCCAGACGAAGAGGCGAGGTAGATATTTGTTATTTAAACATAAAAAAAGAGAAAGAACAATAATTTTTAAAAATCGGAACCTTTTTCTGAAGGATCCATGTAAAAATTGTTACTCTGTCTTCCAAATTGTTTGATTGATTCTTCTCGTTTTTCTTCCATCCACTTTCGTTTTTTTTTTCTCCTGTGGGACAGTAAAGAATTCCTTTTTGCTTCCCAGAAACGGAAATGTTTTTAAACGTCTTAAAAGACGTTTTATTCTTCATTTAATCTACATTCCATCGCCTTTCCTTTTGTCGACAGAGAAAGTGTGAAAAGAAAGAAACAAACAAACAAACAAAAAAAGCCGACTTAAAAAAAAAACACCTTGATGACTCCAGCAGAGTCCGACATAAACATGTGACTAAATTTGGGCTGAGCCGGTGTGGACTAAATACCTGTCCCCCTTACATTACATGTCCGGTCAACCAATTCAGTGTAGAAAAGTACAATAGCCAACTTCTTTATTTCACAAAAAAAAAAAAAAAAAAAAAAAAAAAAATCATCGAACAGTTTATCTTTCATCTTTTTCCTAACCTAGTTATCTATAATATAAAAACAATAACAAAATTTTTTTGTGGATTAATTTTGACTTCAATCATTGAATTTTTCTGTAACCGAAAATTTAACTTTTTTTCGGCTAAAAAACCGAACGGAATGAGGTGGAGTTTAAATGTCAGCGCCCTGATACATTCATACTAGGATTAGAGAGGACAAAAATAATCCAGATCCTTGGCACTTATGTCTCGGGCGCTAATCCTACTCCTCCTTTTCAAAGAATAACAGGTGCTGTCTAGAAGCCGGAACGTTGTTGCTGGGCTGTTAATCTGTGTAGCCGTCCTTGTCATCATAGACAAACATAAAAGATGTTTTATGAACAAATTATAAGATTATTTTTTAAATTAAGATATTCTTTTTATTTCAAGAAGAAGAGTTTTTTTTTTGTCAGATTATCTTCTACTTAACTTAATATTTCAAGTAGTTTGGAAACAAGTATCAAATTTTATTGTTGGTAAAAAAAATACAATTCTATGTGTCGCGATTTTATTGATCTAATTAAAAATAAAAAATAAAAGAAGCCGCACGCATGTTAAAATTATGGTGTAACAGTAATAACTTCAGTTTAAATATTTAAAAGTAAAATAATATTTATTAATTCTGAACTAGTCACTGTGAAAAATGTTTTCAAAAACTTCACCTGTACATATGCGGACGGGTTCACCTTTGTACAGTCAGTTTTATGTGCCATGCGTGATACATGCTTAGTCGATCATGTATCTTTCGATACACGACTGACGAGGCAGATTTTTCCGCAGTAGGTTGCCATTTCTTTCTGCAGTCGACCAGTTGCCATCCAAAGCTTTAGAACTCGGTCTGTCCTGCTTTTTACCCATAGCTGTAGGGAGAAGAAGAGGATTCATACCTTTCCCAAGGGTATTAGAACATCAGTCAGTCAGTGACTCAGTTATGTGCCATGTGTGATACACGCATAGGCGATCATGTATCTTTCGATACATGACTGACGAGGCAGATTTTTTCCCGCAGTAGATTGCCATTTCTTTCTGCATTAGACCAGTAGCGATCCTAGGCTATAGAACCCGGTCAGTCCAGCTATTTACCCAAGGGGGGAAGAAGATTCATACCTTTCCAAAGAGTATTAGAACGTCAGCCAATCAGTTATGTGTCATGTATGATACACGTATAGGCGATCATGTATCTTTCGATATATGACTGACAGGGCAGATTTTTTCCCGCAGTAGGGTTGCCATTTCTTTCTGCGATAGACCAGTAGCCATCCAAGGCTATAGAACCTGGTCTGTCCAGCTATTTACCCATAGCTGGGGAGGGGGCAAGAAGAGAATTCATACTTTTCCCTAGGGTGTTAGAACATCAGTTAGTCACTTATGTGTCATGCGTGATACACGCTTAGGCGATCATGTATCTTTCGATACATGACTGACGAGGCAGATTTTTTTCCCGCAGTAGGTTGCCATTTCTTTCTGCGGTAGACCAGTAGCCATCCAAGGCTATAGAACCCGGTCTGTTCTGCTATTTAACCATAGCTGGGGGGAAGAAGAAGAGGATTCATACCTTTCCCAAAAGTATCAGTCAGTCAGTTATGCATCATGCGTGATACATGCTTAGGTAATCATGTATCTTTCGATACATGACTGACGAAGCAGATTTTTTTCCCTGCAGTAGGTTGCCATTTCTTTCTGTAGTAGACCAGTTGCCATCCAAGGTTATAGAACCCAGTCTCTCCTGCTATTTACCCATAGCTGTGGGTGGGGGAGAAGAGGATTCATACCTTTCACAAGTGAACGTATTGGATTCGACTCGGCTCTCTGATTCCTTAATCCGAGCCGATATCCATTACTCCACTGTCACAGTAAAAAAAAAGGAGCACATAAAAAGTCACAATTTGGCTTTGCTTTTGCAAGAAGTGACATGTTTCAGTTTACTTTTTACATTCAGTACAGGAAGCCCTTGTAGCAGATTTTTGAACCACGCTTTTATTAAGTAATTTCTATGGTAGGAGGCTTAATAAAGAATATTTTTCACTAAATTCAAGTATTGTTGATCCAACACAGCACTAGGATCCGAGAATTCTATTATTCACGCTGTAGTTTAGGGTAGGTTTTTTTTTTTTTAGGTTTAATGATAAAAAAAAAATGTCTGTTAAAAAGAAAGACGCAAAAACTGATAATATTTCATTTTCCTGTGACTTTTTTGCTTGTATCTTCTTTTTTTTACCTGGATTCGTACAATAGTACTGAATCATTTTCTTCTTCGAAAGAAGGAAATATTTTAAAGAAATTATCTGAAAATAATAATATTTAAAATAAAAAAATCCTCCCTGTGTTTGCTTAATTTAACTATCTTTCTTTTTAGTCTGGCACAAGTAAAGAGCGATCAGTGAAAGCCTGAAGTCACATTTTAAAAGTCAACCGAACTAGCTCGTTATTCATTACTCCACCCCAAGGTAACCTTATTTACGAAGCTTAGATTAGTACTGGCACAAGGCTACAATAATGAAGCACTCAATGTGGAAATAAGAAACAGCGGAATTCACATAGCAGCACCTTTTTGTTTCGTACATAACTATTATATAATTTAACAAAAACAGGAGGTGGTGCTTATTTGTGTGTTATTCTATTTAAATTGCTTCATTAAATAAAATAAAAAGTATTTTTTATTAATTTAAAAAAATAATATAATAATAATCAAAATAAAAGTAAAGAAAGAAATTAAAACTTAAAATAAATACGAAAATAAAGTTGCTGACTTTACGGGGTTACGTGTTAAGTAGAGGTCACCGAAACTTGGAAAGCGAAACGTGTTTTCGTGTTGCTTTGGCTTAAACGTAAAACAAAACTTCTCAACTGAAAGAAAAGAAGAAAAAAAGCCTTCTGGCTTTGACCAACTTGTATTTTTTTTTAAATTTACATCTTGCCAGAAGATGTTTCGATTCACAACTTCAATTAAAAACAATGTTTGGCATTCGTCAAGGAAGGTAAAATTTACAATTTGTTTGTTTACGTATTTTGTGTCATGTTCAAACATTAATTTGAAATATTTAAAATACGTTGTATATTTTTAAAGTATTTTTTTATTTTCTTGTTGGCAATTTAAACATTCAACTTGTTTTCACATTCCATCTTGCACAGAAAATTATTAGGATATTTCATGTCAATCATAAATAAAATAATGTTTTAAAATGTTAAAATAAAATCGAAATAGCATATTGTCACAAATTGTGAAATGTGAATGCATATATTATCTTTTGATTTAAAAATAATTTATTAAAAAGTAAAATATAAAAAAAAAAAGTTTTCGAAACGTCAGTCACCAAACTTTTCGAAAATAAAATAATTTCTATTATTTTATTTTCGAAAAGCCGGTTTTAGTTTTAGAGTTTCAAACAAGCACTTTCCTTACAATCTAACTTACAATATTACCTTTTAAATTTTTGGAACGAGACAAATATTTTGAATTTTCATCCTTCCTTAGGTTAAAAAAGTTAAAACAAAATCGTGAACATGTAAAATAAAAGTAAAAATAGTCTAAAAAAAAAAAAATTTTTTTTTTTTGAGTAAATAACCCAAGATTGAAAAAAAAAAAAAGCACGGGATATTTCAAAGTTTTATCTTTAATTTTAAATGTGCACCGTCTCATTTTTGAAACGGTGTTCACTGTGCTTTATGGGTTCTATCTAGAAACCTATTACTAGAGTTGACGATGAACATGAACATTAAGGTAATCCATCACGTGGTACAGGGCCAGTGCAAGGGTCTCGTGGAAACCCAATCTTAATTTTCGTAAGACGGTATTCATATAAAATACAAATTTGATTGTAACTTAATCAAGTACAGTAAGAGAAGGGATCAATAGTTGAACAACTTCAACTAGAAAAATTGAAAATAATTTATAAATACAAATTTAAGAGATTTTGAGCTAATTGTATGTATCAGAAGGTGTAATTGTGTGAAGGCTTAAAAAAAATGTGCGTGTTCGTTAAACATTCATCCACAACAAATATAATGAACAAGCATTTGAAGGCATTTCAGTTAGAAGAAATCAAAGAGAATCAAATATAGATTTCAACAAATAACATGCATTTATATACGTTTGATATACACAAGTCAATTTTAAGATTGCTTGTTCAATGTGATAAGTGAGACAAAATTGTAAGGAGTAACCATGCAGTGATTTGGTGTATGAAAGCTTATAGTTAAGGTTTCTCTATAAAATTAAAACAGTTTTCTTTCTGCAAGGTGAGATGTCACTTGTGTGGGTTCAGATATTAGTGTGTATGTGTGCGACAATTGTAAATATTGTTTAAAGTCATAAGGAGTTATGTACCTTTTGACTGACCTGGTGCAAGTTGACTAAATACAATTACTACTTCGGTAGTGATAATGTCACTTTTTCTAGTAAATTTTAAGTTGGGTCAGTTCACGCGGCAAGACTTTCCGAGTTGTGTTGAGCTGCTGAGAGAGAGTGGCAGTTATTGAGTCAGTATGTTGGTGCGCATGAAGGTTGTTGAGTCAGTGTGTTGGTTTGTGTGGAGTTTGTTGGCATCTCTCACAAGGTTACTGACTGCTTGAATCAAGTCGAGCGAT